ACTTTTTTTACATTACAATATATCATCGAACATCAAAACCACACAAGAACTTTTCATAGAAATAAATATGTTCGTGATAAGGAGGTCTGTAAATAATCGAGTCAGACCAGACACCAAGGGCATCAAACTGCCCAACTGAGATACGATAGTATCATCAACCAAGTCAATGAGCCAAGTCATCCTTTCCCCGCCTTTTGCAGTTGCTTGCTGAAGACCAATTTTAACCCGGATCTTCACGGGTACGTTAGGAACAAGTGACGACTTTCTCCCAACTCAATCTCTTTCAAATCAATAACTATGAGAAAGAAAAATAAGACATCTGGCACTCATAGAATGTTCTGGTCTTTATTTTTGGACAAAAATAACACAATATAAGAACTTGATGACTTACGGTTGCAGTATCTGTAATTGGCAAGTTTCACATCAAAGAAGGAGAGACCATGTCTTGATCCTAATGTCATGTCCATGTCCGTTTCTTTGGAGGTGATTGTCTTTTGTCTGTTTTTTGGAGAAACTCTATAAAAGGGATTAAATAGGGGACTGACGGCTTGATGACAGCTGAACAAATACGCGAACACACTAGGAACTTAAATAGCTTTACATTTTAACATAAATACACATGTAGAATGTAGCTCATCATCAGCCATTAAATAGTGGAAGTGTGTGTGTGTAGGGGGTGGGTTGGGACCAGTGACGCTTTTCACTAAAAAAATCCTTACCCTCCACCCCACTCCCATATCTGAATACTGACGAAGTCGTCACTTAATGAGGTACATGCACATCATACCGTTGGAACGTTTTTAATTGATATAATATTATGTGAATATGTCATGCTTTGACGAGCTGTAATGGTAAGTGGTTCTCTTTCTTGTCTCAATAATGAATGTACGAAAAGGTTATATAATTAGTTACCACTCACGTTTGTGCCATAATGCATTACAGATGAGTAGTCGTACGGGACGCCGAGGGCAAGAGCTTCCTTCCAGCTTCTCTGTATAAAGTTGTGACTCTTGCCTGACTTGATGTTAGCTGATTGGATGTTGACGTACGCGTTACGGTCAGGTCGGGACTGTTCATGCCAAAAGCCCAAAGCATGGCCTATCTCGTGTGCCACTATCCCTTTCTGGAACCAACATGTAGACAATGGTAAATCATGGTACCAAGACAGTTGGGTTCGGGTGTTTCAGCTCTTTCCTTTGAAACATTTGAGGTTTGAAGAAGTGCCCTCCTCCTTTGTCGAGAATATACATGTCAATAGTTTTTGCTTGTAATCTGTTTTCATCTATGACTGATCGATTATCAAAACAAAATCGATTATGGAATATCTGATCGATTATTATATAGCAATAAATGTTTGAGGAGTATTTCGGGTTCTTTTAAGAAATGAAAATGGACAGGCGAGACAATATATATGCATTTATATAATTACAGGAACTTGCAGAGCACATGTTGTTGCACATCTTGATAACTGCGAATAACTGTCTCATGTTTGTCTGTACATTTGTTATCGATCTGCGACTGATTTTCAAATCATCAATCTTGAAATGTTAACACTCACCGTCCCACAACCGCTTCCGATTGAGATGGTCTGACCGAAACGTTTCTTCCCAACCAAGGACCAACACCTGAACATATGATATAACAGTTGGAATACCGCATTAAATGTGACATCTATAAATCAACTGTATACTTTTTGTATCTTAATGCATCCAGTGTACACTCAACTAGTCATTCTGCTTGATTCAACATTGCAAAATACCAATGAATATTATTGTCTCTTTCTACAAAAGACACCTGAGTCTGCATGCACCAGCATATGAAAATCCTTAAATCTGCTAGCACCTGCATGTAAAACCCATGCATCTGATTGCACCTACCCTGACAGTCTTTTGAACTGCAAATGGGGTCCAATGTAAAATCCAACTTTGGAAAAATCCAGACATGTTTCATCTTCCCAATGTTGTATCGCATCAATTATTGCCTGTTTACCAGTCGCATCTGTAAATGAATCCAGTATGCGTAAATCTTAATGAATTTAATCAGAATGACTATTGACAGGAAGCATTGTGTGAAACTAAGCAAGGACAATTAGCATTAATTATAACAATAATACCACTGTAGCCAAGTACGTGCTTCTGAGTACTGCCTTAAGTTTTGAAGTTATGCTTACTTCTCTGCCGCTGTACAGTTGTCCTATGTAAATAACTCCGTTTAGCATGCAACCATGTTAATATGTGCTTATGCCTTATGTCGAGCAATATTGAAGCATTTCTAGATTTGGTGTAAACATTTCATAACGTTTAGGTATCATAGAGCATACTATGTTTTAGGAGATATTTAGGAACTGAGTCTTGAAGGTTAGGATTGCTGCAATTGGGACCCGAGTGGTGTGATTTCAAATGGTTAAGGTGTCAGGTACAGTTGCGGATTTAGCAAAGTGACATATGTGTTCACTAGGGTCATATATTCCCGTTTTTCTTTATGTGTATGACATGTTGACTTGCTTCTGTCTGTCTATCTGTGATTTGGGGAAGATATGCTTTTCTTTTCGCGATAAAACCTTTTATTATATGAATATACTTTCTTAAGACGTAATCAGAAGCGTAAGATTTGCCCTTCTTTCGATTTTTCTGCTTCCGATTTTTCTTTTGACTATGGAAATGATTTGGGTGCTTTCATTTCATTGACAGGGTTATGGTCAAATTTGGAAAGCCTGGGGTTTTCATTTACCCGAGTTAAAATCTGATGTTATTTTGTATCGCACAGTGGTCGGCCATTTTGATGAAGACTCGGCCATAACCTTCCGTTTAACCCTGTCTTTGATTGTTGCACCAGACATGATTTTCACGGCTGGCGTCGGCCCATTGAGATCAAGTAGCGAAGGGAACTCTTCGATTTCATTTTCAAGGTCATCAACATCTTCGGGGTCAAGGACAATGTCATCATCAGGGTCATCAATATCTTCAATCGCAAGCGTTGTCTGAAATCCAAGTTTCGATAGTGTTATTTTGCCACATGAAAATTCTCTTTGAAGGGGAAAATTTCACAAGAAAAAGGGATACCATGTAATATAAAGAAAAAGCAATCTTCAGATAGGTAATATATTGAAATCTATTTTGAAAATTATACAACATCATGACAAATGTTTCGGTTTGTTTACATGACACCGTCGCATGGTATGAGTGCTGCTGTGTGAGATCAGCAATACGTATTTACTTTTTCATGCAAATTAAATTATTGGCGCGTGTGTTAGGGCAGGATATCCGTACCCTTGTGACAACCTGGTAACGCTGATTTTCAGTGGTCACTCATATCACAACTGTTTTGCCTTCTACGCTTAACTGAATCTGCATTGTTTTTATTTATATATTTCCTAGTCCTGGATCGAGGTTTCTGCTGGTGGACTGAAGACTTATTTGCATCGCAAGCTCAGTAGCATGTATCTATGCTGATTCAGATACAACAGGATATGCTAACCTTTTCGCTAACACCTGGAATCATCACTGTTTAATGGCGGCTCATAATAGTCAGAATCGCATTATTAATTGGCAGATATTTCTTATGAATGGTGGTTAAGGATGCTTCTATTTCACAGTTCATAACAAATTGCAGGCTTATATCTATCTCACAGTGTGGATTGTTGCAATGAGGTGAAACGACGTTAACCTGCGCCCAGCGTTCTATTAGGAACTTCATTAAGATTTGATGTATTTTTCTTACCAGTGTCTTCTTTTGCCTTGCAGCTAGTTTCTGTTCAATTCCAGCAAGTTTCGACACAACGTACAACCTGTCAGCCAATCGCTCACCCCTAAGAAACGTGTCAAGCTTTTTCTGAAGAAAACACAAAAGAACCATTACAATCATGTATAGATTTCTGTGCAGGAAATGCAATTTCGTACTTACATCAGTAGTAGTGGTAGAAATGAGAGTCCGAGAATACTCCCGATGAATGTTAAACAAAGCGAAAATATGGTAGCCTCCGTGAATTCGAGAGGCTACCCTCGCTAATGACGTCACAAGGGGAATCCCCCTCACGCCCCATACGTTAAACTAGGTCACAGTTCGTCAACATAGCGTCCCCCTTGTTCTCGCATAGCGCTTTGATAAACATAACCCAGAGTCATCCGTTTGTATAATGGGATCAGCGCACATGAATGTAAACTTATGGAGCGAAATAAACAACGACAATATGCATATTCTATGAACAATATTTAATATCCCGTAAATTAAGATGAATAGCCTACGTGTCGGAAAGCCACCTTGTATCTCCACCTATACAAAACATCACTTTATAAAATAGCCAATTTTCTACATATACACTGGCCATTTCGATCTATGTTTCCTACCTCTCTGTTATATATCCGAACTAAATAGTCTCTCCTGTTCGACAACTCATTTTGGCTCTCATCGCCAAATACCATTTGACAGCTCCCTTGTCAACAACAGAAGCCTGTTCTATAAAACGGACTTGATCTGCTTGTGCTGACTCTTCAAAAACCTCATTGGGTCGAATTTCCCCACACCATCTCCAGGTAAGGTATGGATGCTGACGGTACCTCCCAGAGCCTGCAGGTCACAGGGTTGATCTTGGACATTACCTCCACCCACTTGCTGTATGGGGGCATGGGCTGTCTTCATTTTGCGTTGCAAGTTGTGCTTTTTGGTGAATCTCAGTTTACAATGGTCACAGTAAATTTAAAATTCTTCCTGTCTGTGAGTGGTTCGCTTGTGTCGATACCGACCATTGGGAGGATCCACCTATATACCCCTACCAATCAAGCTAAGAATGAAACAGGCTATCATCAATATCAAGAACGGGGACAAGAAGTGTTTCATGTGGGCGGTTCTCTCGGCTCTATATCCAGTAAACCAAAACCTTCACCATGTTGTCAGCTATAAAAGTCAATGGAATGACTTGGATTTTGCTGGAATAACCTTTCTGGTCAAACTAGCTGATGTCCCTAAATTTGAATAATTAAACCAAATCTCAATCAACGTGTTTGGGTATGAAAAGGGAGAAGTATATCCTATTCACATCACAAAACAACAACATGAGAGGCATGTGGATCTTTTGTTGTTGTCGGATGGTAAGAAACAACATTACTGTTGAATCAAAGACATGCATCGACTACTAGGACAACGGACAAAACATAATGGGAACACATTCTACTGCCCTTATTGTCTTCATGGATTCACTAAGAAAGACTTTTGGAGGATCATATACCCTATTGTCAGACTCAAGGACCTCAGAAGATTGAACTCCCAAAGAAGAGGACAAAAGGCTGTATTATCAAGATATCAGAAAACAAATTAAGGTGCCGTACATCATCTACGCCGACTTTGAATCCCTACAAGTTCCTGTTTCGGGCTGTTCTAAGGATCCACCGTCCTCTTATACTGAAAAGCTCACGAAGCACATCCTGTGTGGATTCGCCTACAAAGTCGTTGGCTTAACACCAGATCATTGCAAACAACCTATAGTCTATCAAGGACCCGATGCTGTAGACAAGTTTATCGAGGCTATGGTGCGAGAGCAGGATGATATCGAGAAAAGATCGTTGAACCTATGGCAATGACTGGACAAGGTTGGCAAAGGTTTAAAAAGGCAATACATTGCCATATCTGTCGGGAAGAATTCCAGTGGGTTTTCACAACTTGAGCTGCTATGACAGTCATCTGATCATGCAGGCCATGGGCAAGGTCCAGGATAAACGAATTAGTTGTATCCCCAACAACATGGTAAAATACATTTCCTTTTCTTTTTAGGCTGCATGGACTTTATCGACAGCTGTCAGTTTATGCCCTCCTCCCTCGAAATGCTAGTCGGCAACTTCGCTAAAGAAGGACCATCAAAATTCATTCACATGGAAACCCATTTCGGACTGGACAGACCACCCTTGCAGGTGTACCCCTATGAATAGTTTGATTCCATGGAGATATTCATGGATACATCTCTTCCTCCAGTAGACGCGTTCTACAGCTATCTGTCAGGTGACCATATCTCCATAGAAGACTATGACCAGGCTAAAATTATCTGGGACTCGTTTCAAATTCGAGACCGTGGCCAATATAACGATTTGCATGTCCTCACCGATGTATTAACCCTGGAAGATGCTTTTGAAAACTTAAGGAATATATGTTTAGGAGCCTACGAGTTGGACCCAGTCCATTTTTATACCAGTCCTGGTTTAGCTTGTCAGGCTGCTCTCAAAATGACTGACGTGCAATTGGAGCTTCTCACGGATATTGACATGCATCTATTTATAGAGCAAGGTTAGAGGGGAGGTATCTCGATGATCACGCACAGACATGCCAAAGCCAATCATCCTGATCTTCCTGACTACGACCCAGAACAACCCAACAACCACATCATGTATTTGGATGCGAATAACTTGTATGGATGGGCTATGTCACAATCTCTTCCTATGTCTGGCTTTACCTGGTTGTCGCAAGATCAACTAAATGACTTTGACGTCATCTGAGTACCTGACAATGCAGCAGAGGGATACATTCTGGAAGTGGACTTTGACTATCCAGCAGAGCTCCACGATCTTCACAACGAGTACCCCTTGGCTCCAGAAGAAATCAAAGTGACAGAGGATATGCTCTCTTCCTATGCTTCCCAATTATTTGATGATGTGAACTTGAAAGGAACCTCGACAGAAACACTTACCCCTAATCTTCTATCAAAGACAAAATGTGTTGTTCACTACAGGAACCTGAAGTTTTACCTTTCTTTGGGCATGAGACTGACCAAAGTCCACCGAGTTCTCACGTTCATGCAGGAACCATGGCTCAAAGACTACATCCACTTCAACACAGAGAAACGAAAGCGGGCTAAGAATGACTACGAAAAGGGTTTTTACAAATTGATGAATAACTCTGGCAAAACCATGGAGAACTTGAGAAAACGAATAGATGTGAAGCTGGACCAAAGCCAGAAACAAGCCCAAACTTTCAACGAGGACTTGGTGGCCATTCACATGTTGAAGCAACGGCTATATGTGTGGTTTTGCTGTATTAGACATTTCCAAAATTCTCATGTATGAGTTTCACTATAGTTACATAGAACCAAATTTTGGCCCCCCAAAGTCAGCTTCTGTTCACGCACACTGCTTCTCTCTGTTACGCTATTTGAACCGATAACATTTATGCAGACATGTTAAGAGACCAGCACTTAGTCGACACTTCTGTCTACCAAAGTGGCCATCCTCTCTACAGCACAGCCAACAAGAAGGTCTTTGGCAAAATGAAAGACGAGACGTATGGTCTACCCATTCAAGAATTTGTGGGCTTGAAATCGAAAATGTATTCACTGATCTATAACGACAAAAGACCAACTTGTTCAAAAGAAGATGGCAAAGGGAATCAAGAAAAATGTTATTAACAACCAAACACGTCACAATCACTATAATCAGTGTCTGTTTGAGAGACATATTCATATGTCTCAAGTGTCCCAAATTGGGAGTTATGGACATGAGCTATACAACATTCAGCTCAACAAACTCAGTCTGTCACCCTTTAACGACAAGCGATATTTATTGGACGATGGGATCACCAGTCTCGCTTAAGGGTCCTTCAGACTTATTTCCAATATGCTATCCCTTATAAAATTTCTCCATCAGTCAGTGCTGTGATTTATTAATATGTGTCAGTCTATTTATCTATTTCTTACAAAATATTGTAACCATTTAAAGCTCCTAAAATAAGTAGTAAATTACAGAGACTTGTCTCAACAAGCAGCAGATCATACTGACTGTCCCAGAGGATGTGTATGATACTTAATACTAATGCACTATGGCTGCTTAAAGGTCATTCATGTGTAATGTAATATTGAAGTACACATGTTCCATCAAGCAAAAATATCAGATACAATTACAACACTGTACAAAGCAGATATCAATTTATGTAGAGAGGAAGAAAGATTGACTTAATTGATTTATTTGTGTGACTGTGAGAATTTGCAAAATCAGTTTATAGCAAGGAAACATAAAAATCCATTTTATGTTTACAACACTTAACAGTGTCATTTGTTATAGAGATTGAAATTTATCATTAGTATGAATATATAGTTGGGCATTTAAATGATGAAACACTGAAGTTGGAAAGTAGCCTTGAATTTGTGCTTAACTAGTATAGCTTCTGTGTCAGAAAATATATTAATTTTCTTCTATTCAAAATTGAGAGAGAGAGAGAGAGATAGAGAGAGAGAGAGAGAGAGAGAGAGAGAGAGAGAGAGAGAGAGAGAGAGAGAGTTAGGGTTGATAATGCTATAAATAGCCGAGGCTTGACGATGATATTTTTATTTTTATCAACGAGTCTTCATATAACTGATATCAGTAGACACGAAAATGAGATTCTATTTATCATAAAAGTTCACTCTTCATTGGTTTTCAATGAAAAATGTACATCTCTGAACACTGTTCTACTGCCAGACTTGCAGTGCTGCTATGTCAAGCATTGTGATCATCTTCCGTGGATCATATTGTACAAATCTGCTGTCAATGTAAATGCAGTTATATGTGTGAAATTTGCAATAGGTATCCACTTTTCATATATACAAATCATTTTGTACATCATGCACTCTGTAGCCCTACAGATTACAAAAAGATAGATTACAGCTATGTCGATTCTATTTTTAAATCGTATTTGACCATTGTATTATGATATGTAGATAATGATCGACATTATTCGTTCGCGACAGTATATTTACAATATCTTGAGCATTGTTTTTCACTTCTCCATGGTAGTTACTTGCTAAATGTTTGTGGAGTTGTCAAAAATCCCAATTTATTCGGGCTGACGAAATTCACACGTTGCATGCGTTTCGTGTACCGCATCAGCTACAGTCGTAATGAATTGCATGCATAAAGACTAATCGGCCATGATACAAAAGAGATTTGAGTACGTATGCAAAGAAATACACTCCAGATATAAAAGTATGATATTCATACATCTAGCACAATTTGTTTTAGACTTTCATTGCCGATTGCTAAACGTCAACTAAACGACAAAACGTGAACTGTTTGAACGATCAGCTGATTCAACCGTCTCGCTTCGAACGGCCATCTGGTGTTTCATTATTGCAATATAAGCAATCATAGTTATCACTGATGTATCATGGAATCGCGGAACAAGTATTTCAGGACATAACATCGTTCAAGGGATAAGACATGCTGTCCATGCACCAGCGTGAGCGTTGCGGGTGAAGGTGAAGGCAACACTGGTTAACAATCTATACATGTAATAGTAACACGTGCAGCTCGCATCGCGCATACAACGTGCGCTGTCAGTTTAAGTTTGGACCATCCGGATCAGCGCACCTAGCGGATTAGTGAAGGGAAGATAAATTTAAAAAGATCACCCATTGCGCTCTCCGATCTCTGTGACACACAAGGTTTTGATAAATCGCCTTGCAATTACAAAACAATGTATACAAGCAAAAAGAAGGTATACTAGGAGATTTAAACGATGTAAAAATCGGAAACCCCATAAAAATACAATCGTTACAATCTCGTACGCACTGATGATGACAGATGGATAATACTCGAACCTATCGACCGGTTAATAGGTGAGGTGAGGTGCAATTGGGTTTAACGTTGCGCTGGAGAATATTTCGCTCATATGACAACGTGCATGCGTGTGTATGTGTTTGTACGGCTGCTTGTACTAGCCCAGACTGAAGCTGGTTTTATAGTGCTAGGCCACTGAGATACCATGCCACAGTGAAGCATGAATACCCCACTCAGACACATTATACTGACTCCGAGCCGACCAGTCCTTGTTGTACCCATTAATGCTGAGTGCCAGGCAGGGACCAACAAGTACCATATTTTAACGTCTTTTGGTATGACGCGGTCGGGGATCGAACCCGCGCCCTTCCGCTCCCCGGGCAGACGCTCTAACCTATACACCACGGAGGCGGTCTCGACCGATTAATAAATATTAACAGTTGATATATTGTTTTCGATGGTGATTGATTTTTAATTGAAATAAAAAATAATGGAATATATATCGGGTCATTAACTCCAGAAAATAAGAAGACGAATTCAATATGTTAACCTCCTTTCTGGGCCATACAAAATTACTATTTAAAGTTAGTCCCAACTATGATAATTTCATCAATCCGTTGTTTGTGGTGGAACAAATCTCTACACTTTATATTGAATTTTTTTTTTAGAACTGCACCAATAGAAGATGTTAAACCTTTAAAGGGGTTAAAAATACGATAGAGTAAGAAACATG